TCATTTTCAGATCTATTTTTGTACTCTGGTCTCTCCTTCCACAGTGCAGTAGTAGCAGCATATTTGAGACTTTCTACACATGTCACACTGGCTCCACAGTCTGTCCTGATTTAGCAGCCACCTGGGTGTCCACGTTGAGCATTTGGACCACCTGCCAGGCTAATCCAGCCCCAGCAACTAATCAAGGGTAGACTGAGAACAAAAGTGGAGATACTCTCTCCTAAATGGATGCACTGTCAATGAGCTTGCCAAATCCTTAAAGTCAAGGAAAGTCAATTTCAGTTAACAAAGTAAACCCAGGATTTGTTCCTGAAAGCAATTCGGGTTTTAGTCAAATGTTATCTCCAGTCCCATCACTTCTAATTACATTTGCAAAAACAAAATATAAAAACTCACCAATGAAATTTTGCACCAGTCAATGTAAAATTGAGTACGAAATTTTTTATCACATGTTATTACAGGCTCCATTTCTTGACTGCATCTCAACTGATTCTGTGGATTTTCAACTTCTCGTAAACAAGAAGAAAACGGGACATCTGCACCAACCATGACATAAACACTGCAAAAATGTGAAACTCGCATGTTATCTTTTAAGAAAATTGACAACACTGAAAAACAACCTGCCCTGAAAGCAGGATTTATCTTTCTGAATTAAGAGATTATTTGGAATTATCCCTAAGATAGGGGAATGGGCTTTAAAGGCAGTGATTCATGCAAGGGGCTTCCTTTCATTTTTTCTTTATTCAACCAATATTTACTTCGTGCTTTGGTGCACCAGACACTCTCTTGATCCTAAGTTAATTTCTAAAAAATTTTTTTCCTCCTACCTAATCCAAAATAATCATGCGTCCCATTCTGATTACCATATTTGGTAGATTATTTACATTTAAAAATTATTCTTAAGTTGTTTAGAAAATAACACTATTGCTAAAATAATAAAATAATTATTAGTAATAAATCTTCACTTGAATTCATTAAAATAAGATTGTGAAATTATATCCCTGGAGGTATGGAGCTTTAGGCAGCCTTAACTGTTTTACCCCACAGTTCTGTTTGTCAGCTTTTCTACTTCACAGACACTTACTGTTAGATCTTTCAATACAAGGTCTCTCAGTCTTCTATGTAAGAAGTTAACAGAAGAGAAAATATTTTGTTTGGTATATACAAACTAGGCAAACAAAATTTCTTTTTTTGGTGTGTATCTTAGCAATTATGGGGGAATAACTCTACTTAATTGGTCAATAAGAGTTTCATGATAAAAAATAAGATAATGCATTTAAATAATTTTGGAGCAGCTTGAGAAGATAGAAATCTCCGTAAGTCATTCAGAAGAAAAAACCAGGAAATCACTCTAAATTAAATATTATTTCTCTTCCTAATGACAATGCTATAGCTACTTATAAAACAAAATAAACCCATTAAAGTTCAGCTGTCTTCCTTGCAGAAATTGGTAAACATCCTAAAATTCACATGGAAATTCAAGGGACCCAAAGTAGCCCCCGAAAAATCTTGAAAAAGTTGGAAAACTCACAAGTGCCAATTTCTAAGCTTACTAAATTTTGAAATTGTAGTTAAGACCACGTGGTACTAGCATAAGGACAGACATATAGATCGATGGAATAGAATTAACAGTCCAGAAATAAACGCTTACATTTAGTAAACGGATTTTTGTCACAAGTGCCAAGATGATTCAATGGGGGAAAGACTATTCTTTACAACAAATGGAGCTGAGACAAACAGATGTCCGCAAGCAAAAGAATAAAGCTGGGCCCCTACCTCACACCATATAAAAATATTAACTCAAAATTGATCTAAGACTTAAATATAAGGGCTAAATCTATTAAACTCTGAGAAGAAAACAGGCATAAATTTTTGTGACCTTAGTAGGCAATGATTTCTTAGATATGACACCAAAAATCCCAGTAATAAATGAAAAATAATAAATTGGACTTTATCAAAATTCAAAACTTTGTGCTGCAAAGGATACCACCAAGAAAATAAAAAGGAAATCCATGGAATGGGGGAAAATATTTGCAAATTATATATCTAATAAGAGACATATCTACAATATATAAAGAACACTTACAACTCAACAACAAAAAGACAAATAATCCAAGTTACGATGGCAAAGGATTTGAATAGACATTTCTTTAAAGAAGATATACAAATGTCCAATAAGTGCGTGAAAAGATGCTCAACATCATTAGCCATCAGGAAAATGGAAACCAAAACCAGTGAGATACTGGTTTTGGATGTGCTGGGGGGGACGTGAAAAAATTGGAACTTTCCTACTTTGCTGGTGGGAATGTAAAATAGTGCAACTGGTTTGGAAAACAGTCTGGCAATTCCTCAAAAGGTTAAATACAGAGCTACCATGTGACCCAGCAATTTTATTCCTATGTATATATCCTAAAAGAAACGAAAATATATGTCTATAGAAAAACTTGTACGTGAATGTTTATAGCAACATTGTTTCTAATAGTCAAAAAGTGAAAACAACCAAAATGTTCATCAACTGAATGGATAAAAGGTAGAATACCCGTACAATAAAATATTGCTAAGCCAAAAAAAGGAATGAAGTACTGATACACACTACATCATGGATGAACCTTGAAAACAATAAATGACAGAAGCCAGTCACAAAAGACCACATATTGTCTAATTCCTATCATATGAAATGTCCAGAAGAGGCAAATTTATTGACAGCAAGTAAACAGTGGTTGTCTGGGGCTGAAGAGGTGCAGACTGCTAATAGACATGGGAGGGGAGAGCTGGGGTAATAAAAATGTTCTAAAATTGCATGTGGTGATGACTGCACAACTTTGTGAATAAACTAAATCCAATGTGTTATGTACTTTTAATAAGTGAATTATATGGCATGCGAATCACATCACAATAAAGCTGTTATTTTAAAAAATGAAATATAATAAAAGTAAAGCATAAAAATTCAAAGCTATGTCAATGTAAGTATGAAGTCACACCCTGAGGTGACAACTGTGCTCCAGAGTACAATGACATAAATTCATTTGGTTGCTGTTCATGTGAAGTTTATATTCAGACTTACGATTCATTTGAAAGAACATTTTAAAAAAAAACTATGGTGCCTTTGGGAGACAAATAGTGTATAATAAACTGAAATTAAAGATCGAATTAAAAATTCAGAACAAAAGGAGATGTAAGGGACCATTGGTAAAGTATTTAGATGATTAGTGAATATAAATATATTCCATTTAAAACAAGTTGTTACTTTTAAGCTTCAAATAAAGCCAATTTCTATACCCTTATTAACGGCCTAGCAAAGACCGTATTTTTCCTTGATAATTGTGAAGTATCACTGTAAATGCAGAAGTAAAATGAATATTTCTTACAACTGTTAACAGTTCTCTTGCTGTAATATGACATTGATTTACATTTATAATTAGTAAGATTTTAAATTAAATCACTTCAAGATAACATAAATGGGCACAAGCATACGTTATTGGTGCTCTGAAAAGTTTTTTTTTTCTCAAATTATAAAAGCAATATAAAACACTACATAAAACTTGAGATATAAAACAGAATTAATATTACTAAGATAACTATTTTTTGTTTTCCAATGTACCTTGCAGAATATTTTTCAAATGCATATATTTTGACTTAACTGCAGTCATCTCTAAAACACAATTTTGTATCCTGCATTTCGCCCAGTGCACATCATAAGCATTTTCCATATTTTCTTTGTAATTATAGTTTTATGGCAATATAATTTGTTAAGTGCACATGATTTATTCAGCAATTATTTCAGAGCTGGATGTGTAACTTGCTTCCAATTTTTTTGAAGTTATAAATAATATTGCAAAGACTATCTCTGTGCACATTCTTTAATGTTACTATCTTAGAAGAGATGCCTAGAAGTGGAAACATTTTTATGACAGTTGACACACACTGCCAAATTACTTTCATCTCTACTTGGATGATCCATAAGCTTCACAAACTTAGTATGTTCCGAACTGAGCTCATCATCACCCCACCCCACCCCACCTCCACCTGTTCCTCCTTCTATCTTCTTCTTTTTCTTGGTGACTGGCATGGCCAGTTGCTCAAGCACCATCATCTTTGACTCCTGTCCCTTCTTCCCACATAGCCAATCTATCACCAGTCTCTGACATTTACCCTGAAAGAACTCTCCTACACACCTGCCCACTTTATTCCATCCCACTGCTACAGCCCGTTCTAGTCACCTTCACTTTCTATAGGAAGCGAAACAACAGACCCTTAATGATTCTCCTTGAAACCCAGTCTTCTTCAATGTCCTCAGGGAGCCTATCTGCAGAATAAATGTATGAATGGAAAACATCATACCAGTTTAAAAATACAAGCAACTGTATATTTGATAGTTGCTAAGAGTAGTTCTTAAAAGTTCTCATCACAAGAAAAAAATGTATAACTATGTGAGGTGATGGATGTTAACTAAACTTATTGTGGTAATCATTTTGCAATATGTACGTATATCAATCGTTATGTTTTACACCTTAAACTTACACAATATCATATGTCGATTACATCTCAATAAAATTGGGAAGATAAATAAGTTAATAAATAAAATGCAAACAGACTACAAATGTGATGCTCAAGAGGAGATGTAGGAGTTACTTTGTAGGTAAAAAAATGTGTATTTATTGTTCATTTTGTAGTACCAGTAAGTTTCAACATGTTGGCTTTAACAAATAATTTTATATGAGGTCATGTATAACAATAATTGTTATATATGCTAAAATTACATTTTTCATTATCTGTTTTCCTTTCAGCTGGCTTTTTAATATGCAGAAATTAAAATTTTTTATAAAGTGAAATGAGGATGATATTTACCTTTATGAACTTAGCCACCTATTTTCAAACTTTCAAATGTGTTTAAACAGATGAGATGGGAATATATTGTCAAGGACAAGCTCTCAAGCAGCGGTATAAAAACGTGGTGCCTCAGAATCCTTAGAATTGGTAAATACTAGATAGAACTTGTTCCTTATAATGCTTTTTCTTCCAATTTAAACAACTCAGTTTTCCTTGAGGTAAAACACATTTACTGAGGTCTTTACACATATAATGTGAAGAACTGAGAAACAAGTAAAAATTTGAAGTCAAAACTCTACTTTTTTCAGCAATAGCCACATAAATGGATCCAATGATCAACTTTTTTACCCAATTGTCCACATAATTAATGTATTTTATTCTTTATTTTTTGTATATAGAAGACAAAAATAGGTTAGAGAAGAATTTGTCCACATATGTTACATGTTACCTGAGAACTCTTGAGCTCTTAAAAGAAAATTTACCATGATACCCGCCTCTGTCTCTGACCCCACTTCTTTGTTCTGTGCGTATCTGCAATCAATCAATCGATCAAAAAACAAGGTGAAAATTAAAGAATAAGTAGAACTAAATAAAGAATCCAATACAGAATAAAAATAAAGAATAAAGGACCCTTCTGGACTCTAGTTTTACTTACTGCTTAGTCCTCTCCATTGGAGAAGGAATGAATTATCAGAAGAGGGAATAGGCGCACAGGCTTGGATCCTTCTG